TTGTGTATCTCTCTTCCCGAACAATCTTGCACTCTGGATACGTGCGAAAACACGGTATATACACGCGATCCCTCAATTCAGGCATGCGGGTTGTCACAGCTGTTGTTCTCCAATTTCGCAACAACCCAATTCGCGTAGTTTTTTTTTTTTCCTAATATGACACAACGAAACCATCTCTACCATAGAAAAGAGTCTGAGACAGATTAGCAATGGATTCATAGCGTCAGAAAGTACCTGTATGTCTACGATTTCCCAGACAGCACATAGGGACATCTCCCCTGCTGAGCACGCAGCACAGAAAATCTTATCCTCGTCTGTTCCCTCTACATGACTGAGTATTTTAATACTTACGCTTTCTTCTCGCCCAAACCGTCGTCGTAAGGATGCAACAATATCACACTACTACTTTTTTGTGTGAATCTTCATCTTTTCACTGCTCTCTGAACCACCTATAAAAAAAAACGAAAATCTCTCAGAGGACCTGCACGTTTGCCCGAAGCAAGCTGCGATACCAATCCAGAACATATTTGCAACGAACGTAGAGCGCTATTGTGACCTACCTGTTATTCTATTGATCTCTGAGCAGCATAGAAGTATGGTGTTACCTCCCGTGTGGGTTTCCGGCTCTACACAAGACCCTTTGGTGGCCATCTTGTGTAGCGGAAAATATGTGCTGGGATCGGGTAGATGTTGGGAAAAGTAGTTGGTGTTCGAGTTGTGTGTCCTGTGATCTATGTGGAGCCCTTGGGGTAAACAAATCACGTATGCATGGGTGAGGTTTGCTTCTATTGGTATGTTGCGTGGAGAACCGCCAGTATAAGGCTGGTATATACCAAAGGTGTGAGTTGTGGGTCATGTGCATGGTACTACAGAGGTGGACAGGCGAGGTTGGGTTACCGTAATAGGCGGGGAGGTGCCATTGGGTGCGATCGTTTTTGTAAATGTTTTTCCTCGAGTTGTTTCGGATCCAGATGCGATCTCTCCAACCGATGCCATCTCTCCGACGCCGGTGAGGAATTTCAATAAAAATCATTTCGGATAGGTTTTTCAAGGCACCCCGGTGTGATCTCTCCGACCGGTGAGCGCAAAGAAAAAAACACCGCGGGCCTAGTGGTGCTCGGCGGTGTTGTAACCACGCTCCTTGGTGCCGACTCACCGGCCGGTGTCATCTCTGTGCCTCGGAGTATTTGGTTCCAGTGTATCTACAGCCAGACGTGTGGGGGTACAAGGTACCGTTGTTGCTGGCTGGCAGCACACCGGTAAACGGCAACGCAGGCTGGCTCGTCGCAGCTTTCCGTGCAGCGAGTGGTCATGGGTTTGAATGCGAGCTTGGCTATGGCGTGACAAGGACAACAAACGATGTGAATCTGGGGCACCGGTACTTCAGGTATCAGCTTTGTCTCCTGCTTTCGCTGCGGTCTTCCTCTACGAACAACAGTACGCATCAGTGCATTAGGATCGGTGCGAAACGTGTGGTAGGCTGCAGCTTGGATGGTGTGCACGGTTGGCAACTTCCATTAGGCATAATTGAAAACAACTGACACCCAGCGTGAACCACGACCGTACATATATTACAGAAAGGAATGGCCCTCCGCTGACATCATCCTCACATGCAAAAGTTACCCTCGTGTACCTCTTTCAGGTAGCCCAAGAGCTCAATCTTTGGGGTCGGCGAGATCTCAACGACCCCGGTGCGGAAATCGAATTCAATCACTCCGTCCTTGTTTTTATTTGCGCACCCCGGTGTCATCTTCCTGACCGGTGCCATCTCTACACCCTTAGCAGCTAAAGAAGCCTGGCACTGCTGCACACATCTGTGTTCTTTTGTTCGTGTTTTCCGTTGGTGCGGTAAAAACCATTCACATCCCCCCTGCCCTGCTCCCGTGCTGATGGTGCCTGGTTTTAGCGTCGTTGTTGTTGCATATAACGTAGACGAGCGTCAGCAGGCGAGCGTTGGCGGGTGTAGACTACTGCAGCAGCAGCGTGGCGTGGGCGCACGTTTGCATGAGTTTGGTCAACTTGTGTGTTGGAGGCCACCTACTTGAGCACATACACACAGCTTGCTGTGCGCTGTGAGTGAGTATCGAAGTGCGTCGGTACCTGAGATGTTGGGGATGAAGTCCTTAGTCCAGCGCCAGTCAGTCGCACGTGATCATCAGTAGAAGGAGGCAGAAGCAGCCCGCCTGTCTGGTCTTCTCCTTTCCGCGATCTCGTTATGCCTGTATGACACACACCAGCAGGCCAGCAGGTCTCTGATGGTGGCCCCGTGCCCCGTGGCTCCGTGACTCCGCGAGGACGTTTTTTTTTGGTCTTGCTCTCGTACCGATAGAACCGGTTCCGCTGGTAAAAATCTGTTCGAAGTTCGAAGGTTCGAAGTTCGAAAAGCCTCACGCCTCACGCTACCTCACCGTGGCACCGAAGCACCGCCAAGCCGCCATACAGTAGCACCACCGATTAATCGGTCTGGGAGTCCTGACCTTTAACAGCAACAAGTGCAACCCATGCCACTGGCTGCCTTAGACCACCCGCAGTTCGAGGAGCCGGAACTCGTGGCGGCGGGAGTGCCAATATATCGCAAGTTTGGTTTGAACCGAAATAACGGAGGTTCTGAGTTCTGAGCCCCAAAGTTCTGGCCTTGTTCGTATGCCATGGCTCACGGCCTCAGCAACGTATCTGAGCGTACCAACGGGCCCGTCGCTTTGCGCCATGATGTCCGCTCCTGATACCGCATGTCTGGTCTGGGCTCTGAAAGCCGGAAGGCCGTGCTCGAATTCGAGATCCTGCGTAAGAATGTTGAAACGTTGGGCTCTGGGCATGCTCGTGCAGCTCGGCCTGTTGCAGAATTTCATGACAAGATTATTGAGGGGAAGGAAGTTCTACAGTAGATGGTGGCATGCCATGATGGATGGAAGTTCATGCTTTGAAGTATCGAGCAGTTACGCTTAGTAGGAAGCCGTCTAACGCACGGTGTTGGAGGGTAGGTGCCAATCACCCGAAGCTGAATATGAGCTCCTCCCGGCTGAAACGGTGACTTGACAGGCACGTGAGTTGGCGTTTTCCGTGCCCGCTCTTCTTGTACTGCCCACCTAGTCCAACGATAGTATTCAACGCTACAGGTGATTTACGAGTGTAAATTATTGAGGTCGGGAAATTTGTTTTTGGACATACTTGCCTTGTTTTGGAAGTAGATGCTGTTTGGAAAAGTGGCCGGTTCTCTCGGCACATCTATCAAGCGTGACTCCCTCTCGGACGGACGGTTTCAAGTGCCCATGGGACTTCTCCCCCCTCCCACCTCCATGTCTACAGAATGAATGGCCAGGGAAAAAGTCCTTGCAGGGGGAATCCCTTGTCCTTGATGACATGTCTATCCTGGATGAAGTTTTGCTGCCCACCACACACCTTCCCCTTTCTTTGTGGGTGTACGTCATTTCACGACGTCTCCAACAGTCGTTGCCAGGGTTTGATGCATCCAGCACAATGGCTACCGATACGTCCTGCACGAGTCTGCACTGTTCCAGAGCAACTGATACCGCTTTCGAGCGCGTCGTGCCACGAAGGGACGATGTCGTGAAATGTAGGGGATCGCCTCGACCTGACTAGGCATCGTATGCTTCCACGCCGACAGGAATGGATGCACTTGTCTCGTATGGATGATAAAATTACCTATCCGCGTAGTAACCGTCTTCCCAACCATACCCTTTCCGGTTCTACCTTGCCGAAAGCAGGGCCCGTACAAACGGACAGCGTGCGTCGAGAGCTTTCATAGCAGACTACTTCATCACGAGTCACACTTGGTAAGGAGGCCGGCCACACGACTTCGTTCAAGGATTGGTCAAAACCAACCCCGATTGATAACTCCTGCAGGGAGGCCGGCCACACGACCTGTGCGATGGGCTGAATGATTTCGTCCCCAACTGATAGCTGCTGCAGGAAAACAGAGTGAACAGAGCGGTGCTACGGGTGGTCCGCCCGCTCTACTGCAAGCACCCACGCTAGCAAGTGGCAGTGGCAGTGAAAGATGTGTGACCCATCCCAGTGTTCTGAATGCTGGAGATATCAAATCGTGTGTACGTAGTGAGAAACAAAATAGAAAAATCAGCATACAGGCAACCGAGGGTGGGATGGATGGATGGGTGCGCATTAAAACCAATGTCAAACATGCGAACGGCTGCCGGGCAGTCCGCCGGAGATAGATGTGCAGGCAGGGGGGGAGGAGAACGTGTGGCTGATTTTCACTCGGTGGAATTATGCCTACCTCTTGCGACCAGCGGGGGGGTGATCGGTTTCGTTTGTGATTGATTTCGCTCACGACGGCGAGGACGATGGAGAGAGCAGGAATGGCGTGGGAATGCCGAGGTGGGGGGAAGGAGGGCCCGACAACAATTTGGGCGGCGGGATTCCCGCGCGCACCGACAATCAATCATCACTCGTCGGGAAACTGCTCGCTGGAACTCGTGGTACGGGAGTCTTCCTTGAACACGCGGCGAATGTCCACAGCCGTGGCGGGGAGGTGTGGGGAGGATCAAGATGATGAAAGATGTAGGGAAGGTAGGAGAGGGAAGATCTCAAGTGTGGTTTGGTGCGGGTGTGATGTGAGAAAGGGGGGAAGATTAATTCTCGGCGGAGTTAGATGAGTTAACCGTCAAACTATTGTCTGCCCATATATATGATGTGTCAACTGTCAAATGTACGTAGGAAAAGCTCCGGTCGGCTCAGCGGTGGTCGCATGGGTAGGGACGGCAGCTGCGACCTGTATCGTATTTTGGTACAATCATCGCACAGGTCTTGGGGGGTGCTGCAATACCTCGTGGAGCGTCTAATGCCCGACAGAGGACCAGGACAAACGACGAATCGACGGATCGACGGATCGACGACAGAAGAATCCACATGATACTCTGTGCCTCTCCGCGGCTGCTGCTGCTGCTGCTGCTGCTGCTGTTGCCGCTGCTGCGACTAGCCGGGGAATCGTCACTTCCGAGGCACGTGAAACACAGAAGGGTCGTACAACAACGTTTAAGAAACAAGGAGGACGACTCATCCCTCAAGCACGGAACCAAAGGATGAAACATCAACAAACTCGTACGTACTACTGCCGTAGAATCTTTAGTCACCACCAGTCGCGAACACCAAGCCCCATCGCCAGATGGTGGGCTCTGGTTGTTGCTGGATCTGGTAGTGCCTTTGTCACGACGTGACAACACACAATCTGCGCCCCGGCTGCTTGCTACCCACCCGCCCGTGCTCAAAAGACGCGGGACAGCACATCGGTGGTCCCGAATACCGCGGTCCCGAGTCCCGATAAACCGCTGTAAACATCGCTTGTCGCGGGACTGGGCTACTATACTGAAAGCTTTATACTCCCCAACACTCAATAGTGCGGTGCCCCGATATACCGCGGTGATTGTTGTTTGCCACTACATTGTCAATCTAGAAACGAAAGCGGGAACATCGAGGGACCGTGGCGACGGCGTTCTCAAACCTGCCTCGAACCGACTGCCCCACCACACAACCGAAAACTCGACACATTTCTTCGCCTGGGAAAACGCAATTAACCTCCAGCTCTCCTCCGACTACACAGCACCGCTTCGCCCGCCCCATCCCACCCCGCATTCCGAAACGGTGACAAGCCAACACTACAGTCCTCGGGTGCCCGTGACAAGGCCTGCCAAATCTCCTGGCGACACTGGGCGGCCATATACAGAGCCGGCCCACTACGGATATACTCTGGAGAATATGAAGCACGAAGCATGTGTTCCCCCCAACATGCTATCTTTATTTTTTGGTCTTCAAGGCATGGCGATCATCACGCCTCCTCGCTGCTCCCGACCCCGGTCGGGCTGGGCGGGCTCGCCGGGACCTTCGTCCCCGGCGCTTCTCCGGTCACCTCCCCCACCGCCTGCCCGGCCGCCTCTTCCTCCTCCTCCTCGTCGTTGTCATTTTCTTCGTCTTCGACCCTCGTACTCCCTCCGGCCCCGGGCACCCACAGGCCGGAGTCCACGACGCGCTTCATGTGGTATCTTTCGGGGAGAAAGAACGGGTTTCGTCGCGTAGGCGTAAGGGGTGAGTGAGAACCGTTCGTACAGGTGATAGATGAGAGAAAAATTGTACCATAGGCGCTGTACTTCTGGGGACATCGGGGGTCCGCGGGGAAATAACTCAAAGGACTCCGTAATTAGTTCATGGGTACTGCTGTCATCTGGGGGGCCTGGGGGCAACTGAGGAGCAAGAGCTACAAAAAAAAAGCGACAAGGGGAAGCCGTTCTTTCGGGACGCAAAACAATACAGTAGCCGGGGTAACGCACAGAAAGCGTTCGCAACACAGCGTGAGAGAGCACGACCGCGGTTGGTCGAGCTAAACCAAGCACCTTCGTCAGCAACCCCCCAACACGCAAGTATCTCGTCGCTTTTCGCTCCTCGTCCGCCAATCCTACAGACACTCTATTGTGTAGTTTTCGTCGCGGGCCCAAGGTATCATGGCGGCTCTCACTTTCGCTCCTCGTCCGTCAGTTCCAAGAGCGCCTCCTGGAGCATCGGGGTATCCTTCTGGTCGAAGGCGATCTGCATCTTCTCCGGCAGGGTGGGGAACACTTCCAAGGGGTCTAGCCCACCGGGACCCATGCGCTCCTGCGAACCAAAACGTAGGGGGTGGGGGGGGGGGGGGGGTACACATAGTCGTGCATGCCGTAGTCGTTAGACCATTGACCTCGCATCCCTACAAAGCCGGGACGGAGCACGCCGGGTTCTCACCGGACCAGGCTCTCACATCACCAAGCGCGAAGCGCCGTGAGGTATTCGGCGAGTCGCATGAAGGGTGAGCTGCATCCTGCTATAATAAGGGTGTTCGGCATCTTATGCTTACTTCCTTGCGTACGGATGACAGCTGCGTATGACTTATTTTATTTTCTGGTGCTTTCACTTCCAGAGACAGAGTTATAAGCATGTGTAACTGCCTCGAGGATGCTTGACCATTTTAACACAACGTGGTGCGATCATCCCCCTTGCGCGGAGTGAGGGTTCTCGACCCCGCACAACATGATCTACTCGACCACCATCATGGTCACCGCAAAAAAAAACAGAGGTAAAAATAAAAACGGTAACCTGGTTGCCGAGTTCACGAAGTGAATTGGCTTGTTTTACAACGTCGTTGCCAAGCGACGAAAACCCAACCCCGATGGCAAACACCGGGGGGGGGAGGGGGGTTACTCGTTTTTTCTTTGCCCTGGGAAATTTGATCATCTTTCCACACGTGATCGTGTGCCATGCGTCCGGTTCGACGCAGACTGAGGGTTGGGGTATTCACGAGACCAAATAATGGAATACTGATCACGGTACGTAGGTGGTGAACATTGGTCGCAGCCACAGCGTGCAACGGCGGAGAAATCGCCGAGCAAAAAAGCAGGGGGCGGGGGGGCTGCTGGGAGAGGGGGGGCACGCACACGCACCCGAGCACGCACGCATTCGACATCGAAGAATGTCATCTTGTGTTGTAACTGTCTGGAAAATACAGACGCACACGCACGGGACACTGCCAACCAACTCTCGGTGCCCAGAACACATGTTCGCATTTTTTCATCCCGCTAGGAGACTGACGTATTTTCATTGGCCAGCCGGTTAGCGCGGTCGATGGTAACAACAAAGACACCCGAATACACACGCACCTCTTTCGTGAGCTCGATGGTCTCGTGGTCCAACCCCTCCGCCTCTTCCGCTTCCATCTCCTTACGCTTCTCTACCGCTCGGTTTTGGACCTGTTGGATGCATTCGTAACATCGGCGACATCCGGGTTGAGGCGCGTGAACTCCTGGCAGAAAACAAAAAACAAGCTTGACACAGCGAACCTGGATCTACACAGGCACAAAATGCCGCGGTTTTATCAGGTTCTATCGGGGGGTCCGAAGCAAAAAGAGGCGTTCTCAACTCTGGCGAAAAAAGGCCGAGATTAGATGCTCCGCAGATGAGAAGAAACACGTATGATCATTGGATGCTGCGTATGTAAGAAGGAAATTATTAAGTACTTCCAAAGTTTGATTGTTGACGGGAGCACACTCTCTACTTAGGCGGCACCAGAACAACCCAAGGGCGGGGCTATACCCATTCACCATAATCAATTTCATCGACATGGTCACCGTCATCGGCATCATGGTTATTTATCATCATCATTAGCATCGCCATGGTCATCATCATCAACAACGTCGTTAACATCATGGTAGTGGTGCGTCATCATCGACAACACCGACAAGGTCATCACCACCAACAACACGCTCCTAATTGTCGCCCTTGCCCACGAGAAACACGCTAAATAGCTACAGCAAGACCACCAACCTTGGCCACAAAGTCGTTGACACCGTCCCTGAATCTCTGGGAGTGCTCCGCTTCCTAGAAAACAAGCAGGAAGCACAACATGCCAAGGAAGGGAGAAGCAGCACATACGAACAAGCATAAAGACACGCGGCGGACGAACCCCCTTCGGTCAACTTCGAGCGGTGTTCACCGTGTCGAAAATCGAGTGTGAAGAACCAACACCTATCCTGTGCCTGTTATTTCAGAATGAAAAAAACTCGTCATCCTCGCAAAAAAAAAAAAAAAAACTGCTCCCTCACACACACGAAACCTGTGTTTTCCAACGTTTTCGGGTCAACAAGCACTGCAAATGCTCGTGAGGAGTGCACTATAATAGCCAGGACGTCTCCCTTCTGGGCTACTTCCAGGGGAAGCTTGTATTTATGTAGGGATATGCAGGCTAGGATGTATGAGGCACACTGTATAGCGGAGAGAAGAGAAGAAGGACATGGGACATTGCTGTACCGGTGGGCCGCAGGGCAACGCCGACGATGTCCCCATCGCATCAACTCTTGCAACATTCTCGCCTTCCACAACTTTTTGGCAAGCACCGAAGGACAAATGCTGAAAAAAAACAACAACAACAACAACAACAAAAAAGACCACCCCTATCGAGAAGAAGAAAAAAGTAAGCACACCACCGCAGACGATGACGACTCACATCGAGACGCAAAAACAAGGCGGGAACGACGTCTTGCGGAGGGCGGCGGAGGGAAACGGCGAGCTCCGTGATGCTCGACAAGAGCTGGCTCTGCCGCGCTACTAGCTTCATCCGCTCGTGTTTGCCGTTCATCTCGTCTTCCAGACAGCTGCGTCGTTTCGGCACGTCGGTAAAAAGGAGCAGAGGTTGCGTGTCAGACGGGAACCAATCTTTCCCATATCGTCTTCCAGGCATCGTCGTCTTGTTCCACATTCGTACGGAAGGAGCCAAACGCGTGTAGGAGGGGGGCCAATCTTGCTGTTTCATCTCGTCTTCCAGACAACTTCGTTGCTTCCACAGCAGTACAACATAAATCGTTCTTGAATAGTTTTGGTCGAGCTTCACCCAAGGCCCTTACCGCCAAGAATGTTAAACAACAACACATGAAACACTTGCCTTCTCGAAGGGACGATAGAAACAAATGAAATGAAAACTGATTTTCCTCGAGAAACTCCGCATGCTGTTGCGATTCACAAAGCAGCCGATGCACCACTGCCATAGTCGTCTTGTCTTCTAGGAGCGTAGAGTTGACCAGGCAATTCAGAAAAACAACATTGCCGCCACCCACGCGAAAAAGGAATGAATGCACGTGAAAATCGATGGGGGTACATCGAATCCGGCTTCACTGCACCTCTCACGATAGGAGGGGGGCAGCCCTGACTGCAATCAGCAAAAGACAGAACAGCTTGGCGACTCACGATAGGAGGAGGTAGCTCTGGCAGTGGTCGGCGAACAGGATGTCCCCGTGCTGCCGCAGGAAATCCCTGGTCTTCTCCATCGAGTGCTGCACAAAAAAAAACAGGCAAAAACCATTTCAACCAAAGCCGTAAGAAACGTACACGGGCGTTACTAACGTACACCCAACGAACACACATCGAAAAGAAATTGAGGCTACGGAGAAAGCTACAGGGGGTCGACGCCCCCCCGTGTAGTTGTTTGGAGTCGATGCTGCTGCCACCTGTAGGTTACTGGCGCATTTTGCCCTATGCGATACGACCTTTCGATTGAGTAGTGTCGTCGGTCGCCCAGAATATGTTGATGCATTGGTCGCCCAGAGTGCGTTGGTGCGTGGATCATGTTGTTGACTGTCCCTGGGTTCTCGAGGCTTGTTGTCTACGATTAGCCACATCCTCGATCATTTCCCGCGAATTACCATGCAGCATGCACACACACCGCTTTGCTATGGTAAAGAGTGCGCCGAGGGGCAGCAACAAGGTTGGGGGGTGGGATACAGGACGGTGCCCCTCATGTTCGTAGTTAATACGTCATAAGAGGGGAATAACCAACTCGTCCCTGTGTTGCACTTCACGGTACTCTAGACAGGCCGACAAAAATGTCCCCAAAATACAAATGATAACAACAAGATAACTCGAGACAGACACAGCTCTGAGCGCTGATATAAAAAGACGAACAACAATACACACACATACAACTTCATGAGGTCCAAGATCATTGCCTTTGGAAGCATTTCGTGGTTTCAACCGCACTGAGACTGACATTTTTACGTTGGTCAACCGGTCAGCGCAGTCGATGCTAACAACAAAAACCCACACACACACAAGCACTGCTGGTAAGGGTCGGCACCCACCAGCTCGCTGTACTTCTCCATGACGTCCTCATGCTCCTGCACGAAGTCCGAGTAAGAGTGCACCTCCTGTTTTTCGGCACGAAAAAAACAGGAACGACGTTGAGCCGTATGCAAAGTAGTAGGGTAGCCCGATCAAGGGTCACGACGAATGATAGCAGGAGTGGCGTAGCCTGGGACCTGTACAGGCCCGGCCCAGACCAAAACTTCAGTCGACAGGCTTGAATAGACAAAAACTAAGCCCATTATCCAGCCGTTTTTTTTCCCATTCAATGAAAGACTTTGGTACAGTATTATCTCGCAAGGGAAGTAATGTCGTTCCCACATCACCTATTCATTAGCACCGTGTGAAAGCCGGCGATAGGGGTCGACCATGACCCGTCCGCTAGGCAACATACAGGGTGTGGGGAGGGTACAGTCATCACGTCACGTCTCCGCCGGGCTTACCTAGTATCTGGGCTATTAATTCGCATCGTTTGAAAGCCGGCGTGAGGGGTCGAGCATGACCCGTCCGCTAGGCAACAGACAGAGTGCGGGGGGGGTTACAATTATCACTTTACGTCTCCCCCGACCTCTCACCTGGGTGGTGGTTTCCGGGCCTGGGGCGGTGACCGCTCTCGGCTTTTCTCCGAGAGCCGCCGCGAGCTTCGGGGGAAGCGCAGATCGCATCGTCGTGTCCTTTGCCTGCCGTTTTGTGTTGAACGGGTACATGTTGTACCGAGTCGTTTTTTTTAGGTTTCGGTTCAGGTCAGCGGATACCACGCCGTTACAAGAGACGTGTTGATTCCAGCACGCGGTCGGTACGGACTTGTCCGTGTCAGAATACTGGCGAGATCAAAGACAATGACAACAACAATAAACACAGCCACAACAGCAGCAGCAACAACGACGACAACAACAACGAAATCCACGTCACCTACGGTATCTCAATCGCTATGGTATCTGGGGGGCTTCTTGTTTTGTCGCGGTTCGCTCCCAGAGGGCGGTCGGGCACGTTGCAAGACGTCTACCGGCTTTGGCAAGATGCTACCATCATACTACCTATACCGCTCTGCTTCAACATCATCGTGAAACCGCAACCCCTCGCGAGAATCCAGCGGCCTGTAGATACCGCCATCGCCGCTAATACGGAAACCCGCAACACCGACCGTACCACAAACATGCAGCTAATGGACGCCACAGGGGGCGTACCCATGCAAACGCACGCCGCCATCGTCAGACCTTTGACCTGTCATCCCTACAATGCCGGGATGGAGCGGTTTTTTCGCCGGCCTTGGTTACAATGGGTGAGGGGGCCGTAAGAAAAAAAAAAAGGCGGAAAAAAAACAAACGAAAGGCGTCCCTATGCACGTGTGCCCTACCCACCTCGCTGTCGGCGCTCTTGTTGATGATGGTCCGTTCCTCAGTGACGTGGCACATGTTCTCCCAGTTCCAGGTCTTGTTGCGCTCGATGGACTCCACCTCCTTCCTCTTCGCTTCCACTGCCTTTTGTAGCTCCTCGGCCTCAACCGTTAGAGCCACCTGTGTGGGTGCGTGGGTGTTTTTGTTATTAGCATCGACCGCGCTGACCGGCTGACCAATGAAAAGACGTCAGTCGTACCGCACCGGTTCTTCAAAATGCCCTTGAGAAGCGTGTTTTTGCTAATCATACCGGGTCAATCCCGATACGAATCTTACGGATCACATTTCGGTATCGTAACAGTCGCACTCCACGTCCAGCGGGATACAAAACAGTATCCAGCCGGTATTATCCCATCCACTGCATTGAATTGAAACACATCTCCTTCGAATGTGCTAATATCTCGAACGGGTACAGATGTAGCCTTTCTGCGTCTTTAACGAATATTCTCTAAAAAACTGCGAACGCCTTTTCGTTTGGCGGACTCCCCTCGTGTGTGTGTTTCTTAACGAATGCTGCATCAGACAACTCAGCCTCCGCGTGACAACAAAAAAAAAAACACCTTACTGAAGCAGTCCTTGAGCGCGATTTTTCAACAGCAGGTTGGGCGATGTATGCTACATATCTGGTATGCAGTCGAGCTCGTTGTCGGAAAAAGTAGCTCCGGTTCCGGTTCGAAACGCATGATTCAACTTACAGTAGAGGTCCGTGGTCAGTGCCGGTACAGCAGTAGGTGCCCAGAGAATTGACCAGCAATATACTATCGTGCCGAACGCCGGCATATTATTCATAACTCATCAAAGTGCCGAATGACTTGGAAACTGAGTGTGTGCCCGCCGCGAAAACACCCTCACCACTATACCGGGTACCGGCACTAAACAGGGGCCTCTACTGCACAAACTAGGCAACAACGCTGAGAGGGTGGAGTGGAGGCGTGATCGGAGGACACGCCTGCGATGGGAGCGGTCGTTCGTGGCCATGCCGACGAACTCTCCCGCCTCCGGTCTGGTGGACCGCTTGCAGCGAATGCTTCAAGTCACTCGCGCAACAACAAGAAGAACGACGTGCCTTTTTGTGGCTGCCGGTTGGATGTACCCACTTACACGAAGCCAGGTGCTAGTTAGCCTTCCACCCCAACGTGCGATCACTGATGACCCATTCGGAACATGAGTCTTCCTTGTGTGACAAGCAACCAGGTGCTCGTTAGATCGTAATCAGGTGCTCGCTATACTTTGACCCTGGGGCCATCACTGGCCCATTCGAACGTGATTTAACCTTGCAGTGATACGCAACCACGTGCTCGTCCGAGTTTGACCTCTGGCGACCACTGACCCATTCGAACATGATTTGTCGTCGACGTGAGTAGACTTTGGTCCCTGTCGATCACTACTAAAGTAAATTCGAACGTGATTCTTCCTTGTAGTAACCACAGTCAAGCGCTCGTTAGAGTTTTGACCTCTGGCGACCACTGACCCATGTGACCTTTCATTGGCATGACACGCGATCAGGCGTGCTCGTTAGGCCTTGACTGACCCCTGGCGGCACCTGACCCACCCGAATGGCCACGGCGTGAGCTCCGCTTCAGTCAGACTTTCGTTAGCTCACCGGATCCTCTCCGTCCACGTCCCCTCCCTCCGCTTTCACGGCGGCAGACCTCTGCTCCAGCTCCGCCACTCTCGCCAACCCTGCCTTGATCCCTTTCTCAAGCTCGGCCTGCACAGCACAACAAAACAAACAACAAACAACCAAACGTCATGAAAACCACCCGGACCATGTATGAAGTATGTACTTTGGGGGGGGGAAGCTGCATCGGCGGCTGATTTTCCGCTTGGATGTGATCGTTGTAGCGCCGACTTTGGTTTTGGGAGACATTCTCAACTTCCTGCCCGGCACATGCTATTAATTTATTTCTGCTCTAAGCAGCAGCGCTTCACCCCCCACACACACTAGTCTTGAAAAACAGCAACCACAAGAAACGGTCTGAACAAAACGAAAACGACAAAAAAAAATTGGCTTCAAAGGAAGACGTACTTGTCTCGGAGCTGTGGACGACATTTAACCCGACTAACCTTGCGGGCGTTCTGCTCCTGTTCCTTCTCTTCTCTTTGGCGACGCTGCAGGTCCGAACAAAAACGCCCACGTCCAAGGGCGGGACGGGCAAGGGGTTGGGGGAAGGGGGGGGGGGGGGGGGCGGAGTTGGTCGAGGGAGAGAGATGGAAGGGGATGGGGCAAGCACTGTAGACCAAGGCAAAAACGCTAACCAGAACGCGAAACCAAAGATACACCAACAAGGAAGGAAGCTCAGTTCGGTCGACTAAACAGAATGACACAAGAGAAACGCGCAACAATGAGAGTGACCCAAGGACTAAAACGCCTTCCATAGCCTTGGCGCCTATCCAGAAAAAAACATCGAGAGCAATCTCCGAACCCTGCTAAATAGTGTTCCGGTTCTTGCGGTCGGCGCCATCGAACCCTACCCGTTAAGGACTCGCACCCCATCACCCCGCAACGTGCCATCGCCATGTGCGTACGCCTCTTGTATGATACCACGTACCCCCCAACTACTCTCTACAGAACAAGTCAGGGACAATCATTCTACAAAATACAACAACGCCAAAAGCCGGGCAACTTTTTGTACAAGAAAACACGAAACTAAAGTTTCAGAGACCATGTAAACGACAAGAGAGGGGGTGGGGGGGTGGGGTGGGGGGCGGTACCTTGAGGCGGAACCATGTCTCCTTTTCGATGTTCGGGTGGCAGTCCGATTCGTCGTCGCTGATCTGGTCGTTCATCATCGTGGTTCAAGAGGGACGGGCGGTCGTGAGCGGGCAGGTCGCCAACGAGACACGTGCAGCGCTTGCCCCGAGTCATGAACCACGTGCTTTTACATCTGCAGCACATGAGACAAACTCGAGGGAGAGTTAAGCCCCACCCACAGCGGGATACCTACGCCAAGAGAGGGCGGGCATGTACCGACCAGCAATACACATTTTCGCAGCGACCATAAAAAACCACAAAGCCTACCGCACCACGCCGAGCCGATGCCAAGACTACGCACACGAAAACAATGCTGCTCGCGTGGACCGCCTTCGCGCGATAAATCCAATGTAAGTCTATGAGGAAATAAAACAGGGAGGGGGCATGCAGACCGTATTCTCCAACCCTAACCCTGACCCAATTTCCCCGATTGTATGCTTTATCCGATATGTTTGCAAGTACATAGTACGATAAACCTGCAAAGGCTATTGGCTCACGTCGATGTGGTCCCACTTGCTGTAGTCGGTAATGGCCGTCATCTCTGCGCTGGAAGCACGTCACTCGTTGCCGCAATTGTGGTTCTTATTTCGGAGGGCAGTCAGAGCAGCAAAAAAATACCCTCCCCAAGGTGTGTACGCGCGCTTTGAGCGGGAGCAAAGCCTGCACAAAAGGAGAGGAGGGGGGGGGGCGGGGGGGGCGCAAAGCAAGGCAGGGAATGTTACGGAGCCCAGGAGTGTCACTACATACTGCTGTAGCAACAGAAGCACCGCCATCAGCGGCATGGGCTTTGGATGCCTCGCCTTGTCTTCATCGAGGACGGGATTTGGTGGCACTACTCGTGCGTGCTATCATGCTACAGCAGTAAGCTAGTCCATGCGCAAGGGCTGCTGTCAATCTGGACAGCGTGTGATCTTCCCACACGGTAGACAAGACACCTGATGGGTGTACAGCAGTAGTACACTAGTGCCGGCCCGCTCGTAGAGAGACGCTAATTGTCACCAAGGCTCAAAGCTGTAAGCCTTCCAATGGTCCAAGCAAAGTATTGTTGTTGATGTTGTTGTCTTCACTTGAGTCTAGGCATTTCTAAGTCAACATTACTCTGATGCTGCTGTGTGCATAGACTACAGCAGTCCTTTTCGTTCTTTTTCCAGTCTAGGGTTACCTCGCATAGCGTGTAGAGGCGAGGGGGGTGGGCTAGACTATCTGTCGTTGACTTCTATTGACTTGCGGACCCTTCGGTTCCATTTCTATTTTCTTATTCCTTTCTTTGGTAAGTTAGCCTGTGACCACGGTAATCGACCCCGTCAAGTGTTAGACTACATAACACGGACAGAGGCAGGTACTGGGCAGAGAGAACGGAACGGTTTGTACTGCTGTGAAGAGGTGAAGAAAAGTTGACTAAGATGAGAGAGGGAAATTTGGAACTATTCTTGCTGGGTCTCAATTTTCAGGTGGGCCCTACACATTATGACCCAACGCATTTTCTGTAAAAAGATACCATACAGCACCAAGCGTGTTTGTTTTCATCAGCTTCTCTCCCACACGAAAATATGGTGTGTACCAGGAACAGAGCTGGCATTGTAAACCCTGCCGGCTGCGTTTTCGAGAAGATCGGGTAGTTTTTGTGTCCAAAAAAGACAAGGTGGGAACAGAAATGCCGCACCCCACTAAATCCCCATGATACTCATCGCTTTAAGCTCAGAGGCGAGGATACTTGAGAGGGGGGCAGAGTCTAATGTTTGTGTTAGTCCGGGTGCGTATTTTCGAGCCCGCTACTGCTGTTTCGCTTTGCTTCGTGCCGCATGTTGTGTGACCGGTCTTCTAGATTCTGCAGCAGCAGCACCAGATGGCGGCCAGTTTCTTTGAGATCCCACAGCAGCACTTGAAATCTATTGCGATCGCCGCTGCGCGCAGAAACACGAAGCCCAAGAGCGTCGACTCTTGAAGCCAACAACAGCCGTTGACCTTGGAATCTCTCACCTTAGTTTTTCGCACCTAGGGGTGTCCACGAGGATGTGGCCCTCGAAGACACTGCAGCTAGGAGGGGAGCACACACATAGTATTGTTAATATATATATACCCATGGATTACGTTCAGCGAACGCCCGGTCGGCCGGCCGGCCTTGCTTCCTTCTGTGGTCTTGCAACAACCTGGCTTGCCCAAGCATCGCCCAACAGGTTTCTAAAGCACAAGATGGCTGACGCGCCTGCTCCTGCTGGTGGTGGTGGTGGTGGTGGTGGAGGAGGGTGGAGCGGTGGTGGCGGCGACGACCGCGGTAAGAGAAGCAACAAACTTTTTTTACTAGACCGCGTTGTCCTGTCTTTCGTCCTCTCTCGCCCACACACCTCGCTTCCGCCTTACGGTTGTGGTCGTTGTGCATTGCTGCGCGTCGTGGGTTGGGAGTGGCATGCACAGCAGCGGGTTGTGTGCAGGGATATATATCCACCTAAGGCCAGATGTGGACCTTTTGCCGTTTCGCAGCCCAGCCCGTCTCTCGTCGCTACAAGCAGATGCCAAGTCCACCCCCCCTGTTGTTTTTGAATGGTTGCGAGTTGCGCGGGGCAGCACAGGCCACCGTTCGTTGTACAAGTACTGCTGTATCGCTGCCGAGTTGCTGCTCGCGCTCCGTTTAACACCCAAGTAGGTTTTCAGAACGCGGCGACGCAACGCACCAAGGAGGAGACCGATTGTTTTTTTACATATTACCGTCGAGTGCTTTCGTCCTTTGCCGCTGGGATAGCAGGGAGGTGGATTTCGACGTTAGATAAGCCCCCCCCCCCTATCCGTGTGAGGATGAGGCAACAGATGCTTCTAATGGATTGGTTTGATTGGATCCCTCATTGCAGCTTGCGATCATATTTTGCGTAGATAGTACGGCATGCCAGAGATAAGTCCCAAGCTGACCCCACCGGTGTCAACACCTGCACAACACCCATGTATCGGTAAATTTCCTTGTGTCCTAGTGTGAGCTCGTGCCACCTCCGACCATCATCCTCAACGCTGGGGAGAAAATTAATATTTCTATTTCCGACCGTGCGAGGCTGATTGTGTTACCGACGCTACAGCTTCTGTGCCTTACCAGATAGCGCCCGCACTTGTATACTCAACATTGTATCCAACGTGAACTTGAGTACCGTTTCGTGAGCCCTGTCATGAACTCGTACAATAAAACCTACCTTCTGTTTAACGGCCATTTGTAGCCCAAAGAGGAACAAACAGTATCAACCCCGACCTCGGCCGAGAGTATCAAATGAGAGGTTCTTAAATGCGGGCACTATCTCTAGTCCTCTACCCTCTGCCAGAACATGCACAGCATAGTGTAGATCATGCCTCGTTCCTGTTGATTGGTGCATTCAAAAAATGGAACTCCCCAGCAAGGCCGGTGGCACCGCGAAACGACAGCCTGCAACCCCGCGCACGCTTGCTGAATCGCCACGGGTGGCTCTCGTCATGACGGGAGGAGCGCGAACTCGAACCAAAGTAGCGCGCATGGTAGGGAGTAACTCCAACAAGGTTGTGACGAGCACATCTGTCTACCGTAGATTGTACAGATACCACACACACCCTGGAGCGATTTTGAAAGCTCGTCTACTGCACGACGGAGAAGGATGCCTCATTCGAATGATCGGTTTTCGGAAAGCTCTTGTCAAGAGCCTGCCGAAAACCGATCATTCGATTTCGGCATTCCTCTTCGCCGTGGTTGTCGAGGTTTCAAAATAGGTCCAGTGGGTGTGGTATCTTGTGCAACATACGGTACCGTATACGACACGAGATAACACACCCCCTGGACCGATTTTCAAAGCCCGATTTCTCAACGGCAGAAAGAGTCACAGCGCCGAAAACGGTGGCGTTGAAGCCGTCTGGCCGAGAGCTCTCCGAAAATGTATCGTTTCGTGTATGCATCTTCTTTGTCGCGGAGTGATTTAGCTTTGAAAATCGGTCCAGGGGGTGTGTTATCTTGTGTCACATACGATAGTTTGCCTCCATCGTGTCGAGACGGAACGTCTGTGAAGCTCAGTCTGGAAGTCGGGATGTGAAGCGTCCTCTGTTGTCGCCGGGTGTACCGCGTTGTTGCAAAGCAGCTTGTTTGCTCTCGCCGCCTTCGCCCGGGGTGAAATCTTATCTTAGTCCTTGGGAAGCGACGGTCCGAACGAGATCGAACTCGTCCCACACCCTCTGCTCCGTTTTTTTACGCCGCCAGAGGCTAGCAACGACCTCTCGTTCTAACCCCTCCCCCTTACGCTTCCGACTCTGAACCTCGCTCTCCGCAAGCTTGAGGTCCACGGTATAACGGCGTGCACGCGGCTACGAGTAACGCCCCCCCCCCACGCACTCAGATGAGCCCGCTATTCTACCCTCCCTTGCCTCAACAGCTCTACCCGTATCCACGCCACCGCCGCATTAAATCGAAAACCGACACCAGGCCGCGGCGGCTTCGGGAGGGGCCGCGGTGACCGCGGACGCGGACGCGGCCGTGGGCGCGGGCGCCCGCGCGATGACGACAAGGAGTGGGTGCCCATCACCAAGCTCGGCCGCCTGGTGAAGGAGAACAAGATCAAGTCCCTCGAGGACATCTACCTGTTCTCCATGGCCATCAAGGGTGAGGGATTGGTTTTTCGTTTCTACCGTACGGTAGCACATACCCCAGTCGTGGTACAGGTATGCATACGTTGGGCGAAATCGTTTGTCATAGACTCGACCCTCCATGGTACGGTTGGGTACCCTCCCGTTCCGGTGGAAGAGGCGGGATACGTTCGGAGTATGAGGGTCGAGGGCCTTCGTTACACCACCCTCTTATGTCGGAGCCACGACTGTACCATGTTTGGGCGCAAGCTTGTTTTTTTCCCGCCGACATGCCCCTACCTGCCTCACCTTCGTGGTGGGTGTGTGCGGCCTGTCTGCGAGTTGGCCGACAAGTTTTTCAAGCGGCGTAGGTTGCAATGCGCCTGACGCCTGTTGAGGTGCTCCCTCACGTCAATCGTGAGTCAGCCTTGTCCCGCACAACAGAGTACCAGATCGTGGCTTCCGCCCGGGCCCCCCGTACCGTGTTCCGTTTTCGTGTGCACGACTCACGGCCCCCCTTTACACTACTTGACCCGCACAACAGAATACCAGATCGTGGCTTCTTTCCTGGGCCCCCCGTACCGTGTTCCGTTTTCGTGTGCACGACTCACGACCGCCAACCCCCCCCCCACTCCTTGACTCGCACAACAGAGTACCAGATCGTGGACTTCTTCCTCGGCTCCAAGCTCAAGGACGAGGTGATGAAGATCATGCCCGTGCAGAAGGTGTCCGCCGCCGGTCAGATCACCCGCTTCAAGGCCTTTGTCGCCGTCGGCGACGAGAGCGGCCACGTCGGCCTCGGCGTCAAGTGCGCCAAGGAGGTGGCCACGGCTATCCGCGGCGCCATCATCATCGCCAAGATGTCGGTCGTGCCCGTGCGCCGCGGCTACTGGGGCCGCAGGAACGGCATGCCCCACACCGTGCCCAACAAGGTGACCGGAAAGTGCGGGTCCGTGCGCGTGCGCCTGATCCCGGCCCCGCGCGGGACGGGCCTCGTGGCCGCCCCCGTGCCCAAGAAGCTCCTGAGCATGGCCGGCGTGGAGGACTGCTACACGTCTTCCCGTGGCCACACCCGCACCCTGGGCAACTTCGTGAAGGCTGTCTACTTCGCCCTCGCCAAGACCTACGGCTACCTCTCCCCCGAGCTGTGGAAGCCCACCGTCTTCCAGTCGGCGCCGTACCAGGAGCACACCGACTTCCTGGCCAAGAACCCGGCCCCCAAGGCGGCGGAGTTCTAAACCGGCCTGTCCCGAGTTTCGCCGCATCGCGAAAAGGAAGTTTTTCGGAGGGGGATGGGTGTTTTGGGGAGAAGAGGAAGGAAAGCGTTAGGGCAAGAACGCTACGGTGCGTAGGTGTCGACCTTCTTGGCTTTCTCGGCCACCTCTCTCGTCTGGCTGCTGCTCCTGCGAGTGGGCAGAGGGCTGTTTTCTCTTTTTCTCGCGGGAGCTTGTGGTAGCTATTTAGCAGATTTTTTAAAACCCTAGGGGGGGGGGGGGGGGGGGGGGGGGGCTACTAGCGGTAGGGAAAGCGTTGGGCGACGCTGCGGTGCGATGTGCCGGCCTTGCTGCATGTGTCTTCTTCTCCCGTCATTTTTCTCCTTTGCGTGTTCGATGAGATTCTGCTGCTGTTGCTCGTGCCTCTTTTGGCATTGCTGCTGCCTTTAAGAAACGTGCTTGAAACTTAACCGTACAAGCATCTCGTGTGATGCTGCGGGTTGCTCTTTTGTGGGACGGGTGTCCCTTCCTCCTCCAGATCAGAAGACGCCTCGCAGATCCTTAGGATCACCCGCAAGCTGCTCTTGCCGTTCGAACTGTGATGCGTACATCGATGCACCAGCATTCACTCCCGCCCGCCGGAGCCGCAACCGCGGTGTTGACCGTTGGTTCGTTTCCTAAGGATGTGAGAAGCTCGCTGTTTGGCGTCAAGAGCTCACCCGGGACGGACGTGAAAAAATGTTGTCCGAGAGCATCACACCATGATTTAGAACCCCATGCGTGCAGGCTGTTTTGTTTTGGGGGGGGTTTCATCATCTGAGATCAGCGCTCACAGCAGTTTATCGGGTAGGAGGTAACTCCAATCCATGGTCACACAACGGGTTTCCTCTCCCTTAGGTCCTCTACCGACCCCTCCTGCGGTGTTTGCCTTGGAAGAGTACACTCTTTTCCCTGCATGTGCCAGCATTTTCCCCGGGCAGGCCAAAGGTGTGAAGAGTGCTTGGAACGGCGAACGCCCGTCAACGTACTTGCCGCTTAAGGGTATCGACAGCTAAACACTTCAGGGGCCGGCCCGGCCCCGAACGACAAAGGGAGTTCCCTATTTTCAGCGAGTCGTCGCCACACCCTCTACCCAACCCCCGCCCCGAAGAGTCGATAGTGTCGAGGTGTATTCGGAGGTGGTTGTTTGCCTCAGCAGCAGCCCCACCTCCGCTTGACATAACCTAAAAGCTTCCACGAGACAGCAGTGGTGGTGTCATCAGACCGGAGACCGTTACCGTTAGGCTTCGCCTTCGGCGTTCCAGACAGGCTATATCCGACTATAACGGCATGCGAACATCACCAGTGCCTGTGACACGTTCTCCGCACCTTGGCGGGTTATTTACCGGTCTGATTCCTAAAACAGAGTTGTGATCAAGCCTGCCAAGCGTGGCGACAGCAGGCAGAGTGCTTGCAAGGCTGGTCCACAAACGAACCATTTCGTGTTCCTGAAATTCACCGGGACTGCTTTCGGTAGGGGAAAGGAGTAACAAGGCTCCAAGATAGCCCGCCTCCTCTACAACGTAAGGACGACCAGCGTTAGGTCAAAGGGCGGGGATGACGTCTTGAAGGCATCTCCTGCTTGACGGTTTTGCTACAGACAGTTCGTTTGTGCGAGTAGAACCCAGCTATCAACGGTTGGCGGCTGTTTTCGGTTTCGCTAGCGGCCGCGGTGTCACGTGATCCAAGCTATTGGTCGTAGACTATGTGATGAAGTATTAGCACGGCGACCTTTAACAACCGTCGTTCGGGTGACTCGCTCGAAATACGCCACCGACCCCCCCCCTCGCCGCAAATCGTCTGGTACTACTCCCATTCGCGGTCAGCGTTTGGATGTATCAGTTTGGCGCTCTGAGATCTCGACTAATCACGCTTCAAACGACCCCAGTAGGTGACCTTCCACTAATGAAGGTCGACAAAACTACCAACACAACGAACATGGTCAAAACAAAAACACAACGTGTAATAAGGGTTGCTGTTGTGTCTACTTGCTCGTCGCGGCCTGCGCGAGCGTGTTCCGCATGCGGATCTTGGCGACGTTCCACGTGAAGCTGTCCGCCGTGATGGGCTTCGTGCGCCGCATGCTCCTGGGGCACCGTAGGTACGACAACAAGACGTGGTGGCGTTGGTGTTGGACGGGGAGGACGGGGGGAAACGAAACCTCGCGCCGTCAGGAAGAGAAGAAACAGAAAAAAAAGCTTCTCAGTAAGGAGGGGTGTTCGTAGCGCTCCCGTTGGTGTGTTGAGACTGGGGACAGCGTAGCCATCAAGTATATTACACAGGACAAGGATTGCTCACCCCTCAGGCGAGTGACCGGAGCCCACCGGCATGTGCTCTCCCGGGGGGCCCGCACTTGGGCCCCAATAGCATACATACATACTTCCTATACGCGTATCCCCCACAGAGGACGCACCGATCAGATCCAAGTACCACAAACAAGGGGGAATATTTCTTTGAGGGCGCTTCACAACAAGGCACAGTTGCATTCGTTTTTAACATTGCATGCATGCTACTGTTCACCGCATATGCACACATGACTCCACAAACTCACGGAGGGTTAAGCGTTGTGGCTACCTCGAAAAATGAGCCACATGCTTCGGGATTTCCGTCAATCTCCTACGATCGACAACCCCCCCCTCCGCGGCCTCGACTGGTCACCGATCATGACACTAACTCCAATGTAACATGATGGCGCGGTATCGGCACCACCAACGGCACCCGATCTGCATGCGTAGAAAGGAAGCATCTGGGAACCAGGTATCGTCCTTTTACACACGGTCTATTGGTTTCATCTGTCTTTTTTTAATACCATGGCGTAAGGTTTCTTGTCAGCCCAGGAGGACTGCACCGTAACATAACCTCAAGTCTGAGGTCTGAATCGCGGATAAACCTTGCTGTAGCCTAATGCGAGTCTTCTCGAACCTTCAGAGGGCAACCCTCTCTGCCTGTCTGTCTACTTGCATGTATGCATGCATGTATGTATGTATGTATGTATGTATGTATGTATGTATGTATGTGTTTATGTCCATCTCTCTCTCTCTTTCTCTCTCTCTCTCTCTCTCTCTCTCTCTCTCTCTCTCTCTCTCTCTCTCTCTCTCTCTCTCTTTATTTCTCTCCCTCGTGCACAGCACTGCTGTTTGCCACCGATACCGGTACACCGCGCACAGCGGGGTCGTACCGTACAACCAACACACCTCAGAGTAACACCCGGCATCCTGTCATACATCTCCTCCAGCCCCTCGTGCAGCGCGCTCTCCGATTCCTTGATGTACGCTACCGCCGCCTCCGCCAAAGACTTGGGGCTCTGCAAGGCAGAGACGAAGCCGAATAGCCCACACAACACGAACCGTCACGGGTAGTTGCAGTTGCATCAAGGATGACGCAGACGCATGCACGACACCCCAGGGCGGGACAAGTACAACAAAAATACGAAACTCACCAACTCACACGAGAGCCGTAGCAGCAGCAGTTGCAGGAAGGATGACACAGAAACATGCAGGACACCCAAGTGCGGGAAAAGAACAAAGCATACATAACAATTCGCCAACAGCGGTGCCGGCAAAGAACAAGGAAAAATATGCGAGACGCCTGCAAAACAAAAAGGGGGGGGGAGGAACGCCAAGAGGGACGAAACCGAAGATAGCGTAAAACACGAGTCGCTTCGACATGACGAACTGCCGAGTGTTGTGCGATCACAACTATCATTGTGACATCCGCTGAGAGCATCAAGTATTTCACACCGGTTTACAGGCCGGTACGCCGTGGTAGTCTTGCACCGAGGTGACAAGAGGTAGGTAGGTGACGCCATGGCAGAAAACCCCCTCACACACGTGATGGTGCCGAGTGTAAGAACGCGAAACGTTTTCAGCTCGAGAAAACACCAGTCGCAGCAGCAAACAAGCGATGTAACGAAATCAATGTTTCACATTTTCCTCTCCACACCCGACGGTATCAACAGCAACGACGATACCGATCGCACACAGCAGAAGACCAACAACACCTATGCATAGCCTCTAAAGCTCAACATACAAACAAGCGTGGTGGAGCCTACTCTTTTGGCGGTTGAACCATCGTCGTGTGAAATGTGTGGTGTAACGCCAGACACATGTAACACCCCCTTCGCTGCGCTCACCGTGAACGCGACCGTTTTCGCTCCAACTTGTTTCGACGTCTGCAGCTGGATGTTACCGTTCTCGAAGTAGTGCCCCCGCACAGTTATTGCACCGCACACCTCCGCCGATCCTGCCCCAACCGCCACCGTATACCTGACAGATTTCGGCCGGGGGATTCAGCGACACAGGCGTTACGGCTTCGGTGTAGCCCCCACCCCAACGCCGCCAGGGTGTCAAGAGTCTGGCAATGCTCTCCGTGACAGTTTGTGTAAACCATGCAACAAATTCCTGGTTGAAGATAATGGAGATGTAAAAGAAGTAGGTGCGTAGGCTGCGGGCTCGCACGCCTGACCCCCCCCCCCCCCACCCACCCCCCT